GGGGGGCGTGGGAGGGGGTGGTCGGGGACAGACCGAGCCTGGGCGTCGGGACCCTACGCTCTTGGGGTCTTGGTGCATGCTCGCTGGTGCACATGCAGCCTGGTGTGCACAAAGAGGACACACTCCCTGGGGCCGGGCAGTCACTAGCTTGGCCGTCTGCTCTCAATGGCACTCAGCTTGTGGGCAGAGAGATACAAACACACACACACACACACACACACACACACACACACACACGCACGCTCACACACTTGGGTCCCCAGAGATGTGTCCGAACACGTGGGAAGGGCCAGGGGGTTAGCATGGGGGGGGTGAGGAGGAAAACTTGGGGAGCCAGAACGGCCATGTCTGCAGACAGAGCAGGGGGAGGGGGATGTCTTCCCGACAACCATAGACATGGCGATAGGGGAGATATGACCACAGGGAGAGCACAGCAAAGGAAGCAACAGCATACACATCTGTGCACAGTGACGGAAGCTGTCGCCACTCAGACACAGCCACAGAAGCAACAGCCATACACAAATTCACAAGGACACAAGCTGTGGTCACTTACAGATCAACATATGCGGCAGCCACAGCCACCCACGGGCACAATAGCACACGCCATGGCCATGTGCAGACACACAGCACTACAACTACACCCGAACAGGAAATGACTCGGGTTCCAGCTGTTCACAGATACACAGCGGTACAAGCTGTCGTGACATGTAGACAATACCAGCTGCGATAGCTACCCTCGGATATAAAATGACTCAAGTTACAACCATCCATCGTCTCCTAAAGAAAAAGCTACGACCACCTACAAACACAATGACAGATGCTACAGCCACTCAGAGACACAAAACAACAGAGAGTGTAGATGCGCCCAGACACAAAACAGTGTCAGCTGCAGGCACACAGGACGTACAATGGCGGAGGCCACAGCTGCCCTTAGGCACACGAGAGCACAAACTGCAGCTCCATACGTTGACGTCGTATGAGGCCATCCCCAGACGGTGGTCACTACAGCTCGCCCTAGACACATGACGACGAAGCAGGCACACCCGAGCCAGAGCCACACACCTCACACCTGTGGGACCGTAGATGCCACATACCTCTGCACCCTCAGCCACCGTGGACCCTCGGCATTGGGCTCTGGCCCACCGGTAGGGATTTGCGCGTGTGTAACACACACATAGACGCGCGCGGCCTTTGCCGAACCCTCTTCATCACTCGGGAACCCCCAACCACCCAGCCCGAGGCCGACAACAGGACTTTGGGTGGGGGAGGAAGGGATCTGTAGCCTCAGCAGCTGGGTCCTGTCCCCAGCAAGGGTCCTGAGCCAGCCTGCATTTGGGCCACTGCCCCTAGAGGACATACTAGGCATCTCTTGGCCGCTCGAAGTTGAACACATGACTCGTCCCACCCGCCCCACATTGGGGGGCCTGGGTGTTCGTTCCCCTGGACTCGCCAGGCTGCACTTTGGCCCTGGGGCTGGCCCGAGCCCTCCCCTCCTGTCCTGTCCCCTGGGGGAAGGGGCCGCCCCGGCAGGCTCCAGCCTGCCAGGCACTCCTCCTCCCCCGCACCTAGTGCTGAGACTTTTCCTTGAAAGGGCAGAAGCCAGCCCCTCTCCTGAATCCCAGAATCTGACGTTCCAAGACTGCACCAGGCCTGTTTCCTCTGTGGGAACTGGGGCCAAGGGGAAAGACCCGTGCCAGCCCCGAGGCCCCCAGGGCCGTGGGCCCAGCATCGGGCTGGTACAGGGCCCCAGGCCTCCCTCAACCCATCTGTCACCCCTCCCCCAGCACCCAGATGTTCCCGCCTTGGCGGTGCTGTCCCTGACTGCCACTTTGTTGCTCCAGAACCCGCCAGCTGGGCTCTGGGGCCCTGTGGGGCTCCTCCAGAGGCCTGGACAAAGGCAAGGGAGGGCGGGGACAGGGACCCTAACCACCCTCCCTTCCTCGCCTCAGGAGGCAGACATGCCTGATGAGGTCAACATCGATGAACTGTTGGAATTAGAGAGCGAAGACGAGAGAAGCCGGAAAATCCAAGTAGGTGGGGGGAAAGCTGCCCCCTCCTTCTTTACTTTGCAGCTCCCTAAAAGTAACAGCAATAGTTAACATGTTTATTGAGCACTTACTACATACCAGGCACTGGTTCAATTGCTTTTCACTTATTAACTCATTTAATCTTCACAAAACCCTAGGAAGCAGGTGCTATTATCATCTCCACTTTTCAGATGAGGAAAATGAGGCCCAGAGAGGTTTAGTCACTTGCCCCAGGGTGGCTCAGCTCAGAAGGAGCAGAGCCGGGAGTCAAACCCGGGCAGTCTGGCTGCCATGTCCTTGCTCTCATGGCTTATGCTGTGTGACCCTCTCCTCCTCTCTGAATCTAGTGACCTAACCCTGCCCACATAGCTTAGGCCCTCCAGCTGTGCTCCTCCCGTGAAGCCATGTGGACAGTCCTCCCTGACATTTGTCTTGCTGCCTTGGGGCTTTTGGGGAGAAGGAAGGGGCTGGAGGGGAGTAGGTATTAGTCACTTACTGGTTTTTGTTTTTGTTTTTTTTGCGGGGGGGTCGTTTAGGGACTCCTGAAGTCGTGTGCAAACCCCACCGAGGTGAGTATCCCCTCCCCCATTGTGGGCCCTGTCCTGTCCCCCTGGACCCCGGTGGGGGAGGGGGACAAAGCTGGCCATGCCTGGGACAGGCAGAGGGAACTCTGGGGAGCTCTGTCTCTCTCATGGCTCCTTCTATCTCCAGGGGTGTCCTTTGTGTCCCTCCTCCGTGTCTCCTCTCCTGCCCCATCTGCTGCCGGGGTCCTAATCTCCTCCCCCATCTGTGTCCTATTTCTGCCGCTCTGCTGCGCTCCGTCCTTGGGCCGGGCTGCCAGTCTCTGGGCCAGCCTCCCTCCGTCTCCCCGTCTACTGCCTCCAGCACCCCGGGGCTCCCTTCCCGCGCCAGGGGGACCTCCCCGTCCTTCCAGGCCGGAAGCCGACGGCCCAACACTCCCACTTCCTTCCCTGCTTTAAAAGGGAAAAATATTCGTGTTTCTCTAACCAGCTCTGGGCAGCCTGGGGGACAAACGTCACTGTGTGTCTGTCTACCCTGGAGCCGTGTCAGGCCTCTATCTCTGGGGACCCTCCTGGTCCCTCCTGGCCTGAGAAACATGTCACTCTGCGTCTCTGTCTCTTTCTCTGTCCCTGTGTCCCCTCCCGCGGTCTCTAGCGTCTGTTTTTCTCTCCCTCTGCGTCTGTGTCCGGGTCTCTGTCCGCCTCCATTTCTGTCTCCTGTCTCCCCGTCTGTCCCGTCTCTGCCAGTCTCTTTCTCTCGGTCCCCGCGACCCCGTCTTTCTCGCCCTGTGTCTCTTTCTCCATTTGGCCCTCTCTGCCCCCGTGTCTGTCTGTCTGTCTCCCCGCTCCCTTTCTCCTCTGTCGCCTCTAAACCCCCTAACACAGAGCAGAAGGAGGGCCGAGGGCAGAGGGACTGTGGCGGGGTGCCCCTGCCACTCCCGTGTCCTCAGCGCCCCCACCCTGTCCCCAGGACTTCATCCGGGAGCTGCTGGCGAAGCTGCGCGGCCTCCACAAGCAGCCAGGCCTCCGCCAGCCCAGCCCCTCAAGCGACAGCAGCCTGAGCCCCCGCCAGGACCGGGCCCGGACTGCACACCCCTGACCTCCGCCTCCGTGGCCCCTCCGCGCTGCCCGTGACACCGGCTTGTTTACAAGTTGTATTTAATGGTCTATAACAGTAACACCGCGTGGCTGTCGTTCCTCTCCCTGGTTACCCTGGGCTTCCGCGGGCTCCCCCTGACAACCTCCTTCTCTCCTGCTGCGTCCTCGTGTCCCCGCGCCACAGCTGGGCCTGCCAGATGGAGAATCACTCCTCCTGGGCCAGAGAGCATGAGAACAGGCCCTGTTGACCCGGCGCCCTCAGGACTCACATCCTGTCCTACCTCCCCCCAGCCCGGGCCGGTCCCAGCCAGCGGGGCCCCTGTGTGGGGGTGGTGATCAGGGCTCCTGCGGGAATGACAGCCCAGATCCCTGGGCCAGGGGAGATGCACATGACCAAATGTGGCCGATAATCAGCTCAACACAAGTCATCACACAGCAAACAAATCATCATCCACTCCATGACATTCACTGGGCAGTTATTATGTGCTTGGCATGGCCGTTGGTACTGAGGCCACAAAAGATGAGATGCTCGCACGCCAGTGTGGGAGAAGGGCCTGAGTGCAGAGGATTAGAGCCAAGTGTGCTGACTAGTCCAAGAGATTAGGGAGCCCTAGCTGGGGAGGAAGTTGTTCACTCTTGGGGTGGTGAAGAAATCTGGGAGGGCTTCCTGAAGGAAGTAGCATTAAGGGAGGGCTTTGAAGGATGCATAGGAGTTGCGTGAAGTGGGAACCCCTATCTGAGGACTCTGAACTTGTGGGTGGAAGGATTGATATTGGCAGGGCCATCCACCGATCAGGATGGACAGTGTTCCCCAGAGCTGGGTCAGGGGAGCCCCTTACTGAACCAGGGTTAATCTTTTCATGCTGGGGCATGGAGAGGCCTGGAGAGTCCCAGGGGAGGGCTAGGTCATCAGAAGTGGGCAGTGGCTATTTACCAAAAACTGCGGAAGTATTTCACCATTTTAATAACGGGTCTGGTCATACCAGTGGTCCCAGTCGTGTGCAGTCAGGACGGGAGTGGGGCTGTGCTTAGGACTGGGGCAGGGCCAGAGCTGGTATCTCTCCTGGGATATTTCACCCAGGACAAGGCACATCTCCCATCTCGTCTATACTGACCCCGAGCTCCCCTCCCCACCCTGTGCCACCCGGCAGCGCCGCCGGGATCAGGCGCCCCTCCCAAGGGGTCTGAGCTCCCATCTGGCAGGAAGAGAAGATGCTCTTGAAACAGAGGAACATCCAGGAGTGCCCTGGCCTGTCCTTCAGACGACCTTGTGTCCTTGTGCAGACAGATCTGAAAGCTTTCAGTGCCCCCTTTCCTCCACACAAACGTACAGAAACGTCAAGAATGAACAAATCGCTCCTCCTGGCATCCCAGTGTCTGGGCCCACGTCCCAGAAAACCCCACTTGGGCCTTGGGGACTCTTTCCACTTCCCCCTCATAGAACCTGTTTTTGGTTCCTCATCTTTGTGGAGGCGGCATGTGCTCAAGACCCAGGATCTAAATTCCTGGGTGTGCCACGTGTTAAGCCTCTCAGTGTCCTCATCTGGGAAATAGGGACTTCACAGATGAGGAAACTAATTAGTGATGTCCAGATTAGTGATGTCACTTGCCCAAAGTCACACAGCTGGGAAATGGTGGAGCTGGGCTTCGATCCCGGGCATTATGACTCCAGAGCCCAGCTATTAATATTTACCTCCTATACCACCTAAACCATAGCAGTGATTGTTATTCTTCAGTGATGGGAAGAGATTGACTAATTCATACTAAGGTGTTAGTATCTGCTCACGGTCTGAGATATCCAGTCTAAAGGGCGATACCATTGTTAATAACTGAGAACAAGACTACAGCAACAGTATTGGGAAACAGCATACCATCGTGGTTAAGAGCATGGACCCTAAAGTTATTGCCTGGATTCAAATGCCACCTGTGTGATCTTGAGCAAGTCACTTAACCTCGCTGTGTCTCAGTGTCCACATCTGTACAGTGAAGATGGTTATAATAGTACCTGATCCTTAGGGTTATTGTGAAGTTTGAGTGCAGAGCATAGACCAGCCAGGTACATGCATACTAAGCATTGTTATCAACCTTATCATTGTGGGGAGGGGCTTGGCCATTAGCTACTGCGGCCACCATCCCTGGCCAGCAAGATGTCCCTTGGGAACACTGACTCACAGGCCCTCTGATACACAAAAGCCCCAAAGGACATGGCGTATCTGTCCCGCCACCCCCAGTCGTGGCCGCACCCGTCTCCCCACCCGCTGGCGCCCTGCCTCCCACGGTCTGTGGTCAGTTTCCCCCTCGGCAGCCAGATGACGCTTTTTCTCACTCCCACCCTCGTCTCCGTCCACCCTGTTCCCTCTTCCTCTTTCCTCCAAAGGTCTTTTTTTTTTTAATTTCTTAGTATTGTTCCAGTTATTTCTTTCTGCAAACTCAAAACAGCTGTGCATCTTGGTCCTATCCCCTTTCGTTCCCACAAGGCAGACATGCCCAACGCTGCCTCCGCCTTGCTTTTTTCACGTAGCACCCCGTCCTGGAGGTCCTTGGTGCCACCGCCCTCCAGTCTTCCCTGGGCAAGTCCCCCAGCCCGTGCCACGCCCTGCCCCGTAATTTTTCTGCCTTCTTCTCCCTCCTGTCCCTCGCCCACGCTGGCTTCCTCCCCATCCTCAATCCCACCCGCCTCGTCCCCTCCAGGACCCACGGCCACGTGTCCTCTGCCTGGAGCTGTCCTCTCCCAGCTGCTGCCCTCGTCCTCTGACATTTGGATGTAATCTCAGGGGAGTGTCCTCGAGTACCTTATCTAAGGAGTACCCTCAGTCACCATCCTGTCACCCGATTTATTTTCTCCGTTGAATTTATTACACCCTGAAATGATCTATATCTGTCTCCATTGCTGCCCCCCTATCCCGACCTTCAGAATATGAGCTCCTGGCCTCCATAGATTCCCGATGTCTAGAACAGCGCCCCCAGGCGGCCACACTCTCTCCACGCACTGGAGCCCTCCTCGTGCAGACGTGAGGCCTCAGCGCGCCCCCTTGTGGCTGTGTGAGTTGCTTTTGAATGACACCTAAGCCGCCGGGGACGGGAGCGAGCACTCAGGTGGCGCTGGCATTCAAGCAACAGCAGGCTCAGGCGGTAGATACTACAAAGCGCTCACCCACCTTTATCTGCGATCGACACCAGAGGTTTGCTAATTACTTCACATTAGAATTGGGCTTGCATTGATGATTGGTACTCAGAATTGGCTAAAATATTTTAAAAGTACTTCTCACCCTCGTAATAAAGAGGGCAGGAAAGCTCTTAGTGAAGAG